GAGAGAGAGAGAGAGGGAAGAGACCTTGTGAACCTAAAGAGTGTCCTCTTCCAAACCGCACTGGCAAACAGTCGGAGGGCTTCGTGATTGTTCTAAGAGTGCGAATCAGCCGAACGTGTCCCACGAACCCCAAATGGAGAGGCAAGCATCCCTACGTGCCCCCATCGTAAAAATTTCGCTCGTTGTTGATTCCTATCTGCGCTCAGGAGAGCCCGCACGCGCATACCCATAGGTGCCTGGGACACACGGATCCCCGCGGTTGTTTGAGAGAGGGTTTTCTCTTGCCTGTGTGCACGCCCCTCCCATGTGAGGTGCCCAGCGAAAACCAGGCCCCAACCAACAGGCGACTCCACTGGGGACGCGTTACCCTATCGTTGGCTCGGACTGTTTTCAAGTAGCAACCTCCCTTCGTTATTTCTCTAAAATTGCTATGGGATCCTGTTATCCCTCCAAACCCTCCTACCTCTTCTTAGGTCCAGCCCAATGTTGGCTCCTAAGTTGTGCTGTCCATGTTCACTCCTGAAGACTTACTCGCCTTACCCCCAAGCTGTGCCATAAAAACCATAAGAAAGTGTTTCATACCAGAAGCCTTACCCACCTTTTATTGATCAAATCCCCTTCCCTATCAGGTACCAAAAGGGGAGATTGCTGATCTTCGATGGCACAGGTTTGTTCCAGCAGCATGTGGCCCATTTCATGTCCGCATGCCAAGATTCAGCTTCGAACGCTAGACTACTGCTCCGACATTTTGTAGAAACTCTAATTGGGCACGCCTTCAAGCGGTACGCTCGCCTACCGCCAAACTCAGTCCTCTCCCAGCAAGAAATGGAGCACTTGTTCTATAAATGCTTCTACGAAGCGGAGCTGAATGTTCAAGCCATAAAGCTCCTCACAATGGCTTAAAACACGGATGAGTCAGTGGTCAGTACATACAAAGGTAGAGAGACCTGGCTATGTGCTATAGCAACCCCATCGGAGAAATGGAAGCCAAGTAAATATGCATAAGAAACATGAGGAGGTAAATCTCCTTACATGTTGAGGCCTCCAACTCCACCACTTTCTCTGATATGATTACAAAAGCAGCTAAAATTGAAAGCTTGTTGAGACATCATGGAGGACCATCCAGGATACACCCTACGTGGGTGAGAAATCCTAAAAGCACGACGTACTAACGGTCTCAAAGGCAAGACCATAAAAACGCCTCCCCATGGTAACGGTGGTATGACCTTAAAACTACCGCACAAAAAAAAGAAAAAAGAAAAAGATGATGCAACGAAAACCCTGGTGGGCGTTCATGATAGTCATAAAAGAATTCAAACGCCTTCTCATTAGGCTTTTGAGTTCGTTCCCTCATGTCTTTCCCCAAGAGGGCGAAAAGATAAGGTGCAAAGTGCAGGCGGACGAAGCAAACCATCAATTAAACGAGCATGGAGACAAGAAAAGAAAAAGATGGCCATCTTATTCACACGTCAAGAGGTTTCAAAATTTTGACAAGCTTCTAAAGCCTGTTGATAGAATAAAAATACTTAAAAAAAATGATTAAGAGCCTCGCGCATCTTCACCTTTAGGTACCCGGCATCCTCTAACGCAGCTTGCTTGCACTCTTCAAGAAAGAAATGCTCTTAGCAATTTTCTCAGACGAATTGAGGACCTCCTCCACATCAGAGCTCAAATGCTCCAATCTATAAGGCCTCATGGCTATCACCTCCCTATCCTGATGCCGGTGAGCTCTCAAATTAGTCGTGCGGACTTGCAGCGATGCAATCTCATCCTCTACGTCCACTATTTGATGGGAGAATTCGACCTCTTCCTCGATAGAGTGAGCATTTCTGGCGGTAAGCCACTCCTTTTCCTAATGATTCTGCATGAAGGTTCGTTGCTTAGCTAATCTCCCTCGTAAAGAGGCTATGCGTGCATCAAGATCCCTCTGCACTGAGGTCTCACATAAGAGAGCCACAACTCCCTAGTCCGCGAGATTCCTCAACAACCCCTTCAGCTGGCCAAAGGTCTCTCTGTCGGGGTACATAGCTTCTAAGCTAGCTGCGCAAACTGCGACGACCTCGATCTCCCCCTTGAGTTAGAAAGGGGACACTATCTGAGCCCTTGAAGACCCACCTAAACCATAAACTTCACAGTAAGCACTTTAAAATTCAGCCTTGATGGAGCAGGGGCCAGGCAATTAGCGCCATTATGTTGTGCACATGCTGATGCACTAAGGCACTCTTATGTGGCACCTGCATGCACACCCATGTTAGCTTATTGAACTGGGAACTGTTCTAAAGGAAGAAAAGACATGAAGTTTCTTTAATTTTAAATATGATTATCCACTGTATCTCCACCTCTGTTAATTGACTGATCTTGGTATTTGATGTCATCACAATTGGGTTTAGGTCTTACGTAATTTCTTAAAATGGTGTGCTCTAATTCCAATATAGACTGATTCTCATCATGGGCATGTGTCTTTGCCTAGGACTCCATAGGCTCATAGGGCTTAAAGTTGTGGTTCTTGCTTCTTCCAAAAAAAAAACGTTATGGTTCTTGCTAACTGTTCTTCACAAAATGGATCTTATTGTCACTCAGTTGATCAATGTCCTCTAGATAGAATCCCTACTATGTTTTTTTATTGCTTGTTATCAAGGAGTATAGAGATGTTTCTGTGATATGGAGATTTGATGGGCTCTCGGAAGAAGAATGAATGCTCTGCTCTGCTCTGCCTAGGGAGCTTTGGGTGCCATGGGAGAGAAAAGCTCCTGCCCAAGTACGCATATCTCGCTAATCCCTCCCACTCCTCGATTCTATCCCATCCCTACCTGCCCAGCCCCTTAGTGTTGTCCCCTGGATCGTTCGATCCCCCCTGCTTTGCCACTGCACCGACCCCTTCTCTCTGCCTTGCCCTTCTGTGCTGGTTGGTACTCTTGTCCTGGCAATTTCTGCTAAGCTATCAGTGGCTCTCGTCGGTTCATTCTATCAGACTATCTAAGGGGTATCGAGAGATGGGCCCAAAGACTTTAGGGTTGTCCCGACCTCAGTTGCAGGAGACTTTCAGCTGGGAAGACTCTCTTCATCTTTCCTTTGGCAAGTTCTGTCCCCATCTACGCAAAGACCGACCTTGCGAAGTTTAGAGGAGCCTCACTTTTTCTTTCTCCCTGGCCCCTGGAGGAAGGGGCATTCAAACTTCAGAAAGTGTGGGTCAGATTTTTCGACATCCCTCTCCACATTTGGACAGCAGAAACGTTCTGCACCCTGGGTAAGGCATGTGGCTCATTAATGACACTGGAAATCGATGGAACTACTCCCTATGGGAGCTATGCAGGTGTTGGTCGAAATCATGGACCTAGATTTTATTCCTATAGCCCTTTGGCTAGTGGTGGAAGGTCATTTCTACAAGGTACGGTGTGCATGGAAAAACATCGAAGTGCTTGACTCTATCTCTGAGAATCTAGCCTAGGTTCAGAAGGCTTTGATCGACTATTTCCAAAATATTGTCTCTGCCCCTCTCAGCCCTAAACATACCCTAAGTAATCTTTCTTTCCTTTCTCTCCCCTCCAAGAAGGCTAGTTGGGTAGAGCAACCTTCTTTCGAAGAGGAAATTCTCAAGGCCATTCACGATCTTGGCTAAGACAAAGCCCCCAGCCCTGATGGTTTTCCGGTCACCATCTTTAGCACTTTTTGGCATGTCTTGTGACAAGATGCCATTGCTTTCTTTTAGGAGTTCCATGCTAGGGGCATCGTCCATAAAGCCCTCAATGCTTTGTTCATCACTATTATACCGAAGATTGAAAGGCCAGAGGAACCGAAGGACTTCGGACCTATAAACCTCCTAAATAACTGGTATAAGATTTTGGCCAAAGTGTTAGCATCTCAAATAAGAGAAGTGCTCAGTCTTGTTATTTGTCCTCAACATGGTGCTTTCGTGAAAGACCGCCAGATTCTTGATGGTGCTCTAGTAACCCAAGTCTTCTGGCCTTATTGTGAAATCTAACTGGGACAAAGCCTATGATCACAAGCCCCCACTTTTTGTTGTTAGTCAATAGCTCACCTAGGGGCTTCTTCCCTTATTTTAGAGGTTTGCGCCAGGGTGATCCACTGTCCCCTTTCTCTTTACTATTGTCGCGGAAGTCTTTAGCCAATCCATTCCTGCCTCTACAGTGTTAACGTGCTTAACGGCTTTAAGTGCGTGCCCAATAGTCCTTCATCCTTCACCGGTTCCTTAAGATCTTTGAGTGGACCATGGGACTCAAGATCAACTTTGGGAAGTCTAACATGATCAGGATTGCTCCATGATCAACTTTGTCGAGAGTTGGGGATGGGCAATCGAGAACCTTCCTTCGTCATATCTCGGACTCCCCCTTTGCATAGGCAAACCTATGCCTAGTGCTTGGGCATACATCATTGACAAGTTTGATCATAGGCTTGCATATTGGAAAGGCTACTTCCTATCACCGACTGGTAGAACTACACACATTAAGGCAACCCTCTCAGGTATTTCAATTTTTCAAATGTCTCTCTTAAGAATGCTGGTGACAGTCATTGCCCTCATTTGCAATCTTAAGTTTACCAACATTGCCCTCATGGGTAAATGGTGGTGGCGCTTTGCCATGCAATCCAATCATCTATGGTAGTCGGTCCTCTAGCAGAAGTACCACTTGCCTATTGGCTGCCACCTTGGTCTTATAAAAGGGCGTAAGGGATTTGGGCTGCGTTGCAAAGCATTCTCAAGATCTTCAATCCCAACATGCGTGTGCGTGCACACGAAGGCCTGCGGACGAAATTGTGGTGTGACCTATGGTTGGGTCCCTCTTCTCTCTCTAACAGCTTCCCTTCTCTCTTTCGGCTGATGCTTAATAGGCAGGAGTTAGTCTCAGATGTATTCCAAGTGCTCTATCATAGGCAACTGTGGACTCCAATCTTCAGAAGGTCGCCCTCCGAGGATGAAATGCTTGAGTGCCTCGAGTTTTTCTCGCTCATGGATTCGACCTTTATGCCTTTTATGTGCAGTGATAGGCTCATTTGGTGCCCTTCTCCCTCGGGAGTATTTTCGGTCTTCTCCTTATATCGCAAGCTCATTCAGCCTCCCACCTTTCCCCTTAATCCCCCATCCGTTGCTGCCAAGGCTTGGTTTCCACTAATTCAGTTTTTCAATTGCTTGGTCCTCCATCAAAGAGCACTCACGGTCAACCAACTTCAGAGGAGAGGGATCCCGATGCCTAATCGTTGCACGATGTGCTTTGAAACAGAGGAAATTAATGACCACATGTTTATTCATTGCCCACTTGCCGTTGCTCTGTGGGGTCGCCTCCTCATCCTCTTCCACAGGCAGTGGGTCATACCACTATTTATCCCTCTTCCTTTTTTCCTCTCTTCAGCCGTACACCTGGCTGAAGTCAGACATTCTCCTTTGGAATGCTTCCACCCTGGCTCTTATTTGGATGGTTTGGATAGAGCGCAATAACCTCATCTTCCAAGGCCAATTCAGGTCCACCGATTCTCTCTTCCATAAAATGAAATCCCTGGTGTCCTTTTGGGCAGCCAATCGTAAGTAGTTAAGAGGGGTCCAATCAGCGGCTCTTCTCAGTGATTGGCAACACCTATGCTATCTCTCGTAGTACAGGGTACCTCAATCCTCCTTCTGGACGCCACCTAGACCAAGGGCAATCAAGTTAAACTTTGACAGGCGTCCTCTGGGAAATCCTGGACCTACTGGTATTGGTGGTCTCTTCTGGAATAGGGAGGGCCAGATTTTGAGCTCCTTTTCAAGTCGATCAGCAAAAGCGCTCGCCCTCCTTGAAGGGATTGAACTATTTACTCATTGCCTGTCCGTACCTTTGGTAGCTGAAGGAAACTCACACAATGTCATTCGGTGGGTCTCCTCGGCCGACTCCTACCTGTGGACCCTCTCTCAGATCTTTGAAGAAATAGCCCAGTTGGGCTCGGGGATTGCTGTCTCTTGGAACCATTTCTTGAGAGAGAGCCACACGCTTGCAGCTGCCCGGGCCAAAGAGGGAGCCACAATCCCTTTGCCCAAGTAATTTGTGGCTTTCTTAGGCTCCCATTGTAGACGGGAGCATTCTGTTTTTGTTCTCACTTCCTCTTGATTATACAGTTCCCCTTCTCAGGGGCCACAACTTGTAACAACAATTTATAGTAATACAATCCTTCTCAAAAAAAAGATATGCAGATTTGATAGCTTGAAAGAATTCAAGTTTCACCATTTGTTGGTTCATTCACTTAACTATGGTTGCTTGCAGGTCTCAACATTGCGCCAGGCAATGTGACCCATCATGAATATATTCAGGTAAAATTGATGAACTTTTTCCTTTCCCTAATAAATATGATGTAGCTTTTTAATGCACTAAAACGATTTGCATGTATTGATATTCTTATTCAATAATGCAAGGTTGGCAAAGGACGAGATGTTGGGCTGAATCAAATTGCTTCATTTGAAGGAAAAGTGGCTGTTGGGAATGGTGAACAAGTTCTTAGTAGGGATGTGTATAGACTTGGGCAACTCTTTGATTTCTTCCGCATGCTTTCCTTCTACTATACCACAGTCGGCTTTTACTTTTGTACAATGGTATGATGCTTTTCAACACTTTGTAGAAAATTGTCTTTGTTGCGCTTTTTTGTGATTGTGTATGCAATGGCCAATGGTAACCTTCATCCTCAATATTTTGCAGTTGACTGTGCTGACTGTATATATATTTCTATATGGGAATATATATTTGGTAAGGTGTTTTTTATTTTATGTAAAATTTTCAGATTGGTAGTTTGTAATGTCCCAACCAAACGTAAAAGCACATGTACGTATATTCTCCGATTGTTTTCCTTGAAACTAATACTTATTTTGTCAGGCACTATCTGGAGTAGGCCAAAGTCTTGTGGGTTCAACACTGCTTTGAATGCGGCCCACAACACGCAGTTCTTGTTCTAGATTGGTATCTTTACAGCAGTTCCCATGATTTTGGGTTTCATTTTGGAGCAGGGTCTTTTTTAAGGTAAATGCTCTCCTGCTCCCTCCCTCCCTCCCTCCCTCCCTCCCTCTCTCTCTCATACTCGCCCGCAAGCCAGCCAAAGCTTTTTTTAGTTTTTTTTTTTTGGTAGTACACACACACAACCACAAGCAAGCCCAAGTTCATCAAAATGCCTAAGTCCGGACATGCATATATGAATTTTTAGCCATGTAAGAATCACACTGACCGCTTGGGATCATAGCATTATCCAATGGACAACCATTTAAGAAAGCAATAGACCTGCCATCTGCTGCTTTTCATTGAATATGCTTTGAAATGCAAACTTTCTTTTTAACCAACTTGGCTTTGTCAAGAAAATGATGGTGGAGAATGGGGACACTGGGTAACCAGCTTTGGAAGTGGTGACCAGCAAGGCATGGGATTAATTGATATCGAAACAAGTTAGTCTAACACATCAGATATCAAGGTGGGGATGGGAAGAAGAATCATGTTTTGGTTTGACCCTTGGCTATGGTCCCCTGCTATTAAGGAACAATACCGCGTCCTGATCTCATTGGTTAGAAACCCTGAAAGCAAAATCAACTAAGTGGTGAAGGAAGTTGGGTTTTGGACAGTATGGACCCCATGCCTAAAACGGCCTCTCGAAGACAAATTCCAATAGCTGTTAGAATTACTTTAAGCACTTCAGGAACATTACCATATATCTAAATCGGAGGACAAGATGATTGGTTACTAAAAAACAATGTTATATTTTCAGCAAAGTCTGTGTAGTAGGTCCTGACACGATGTGTTGTTCCAAACTCCATTGCCCCCAAAGTCTGGATTGTCCCTGCCCCCACAAAAGACTCAGGTGTTCACTTGGGTGGTCAGTCTCGACAAGGTTCGCGTTATGGATCATCTTATCAAGTGTGGTATGGTTATCCCTATTGCACATTTGTTATGTAAACAGGCATTAGAATCAGTCAACCACCTGTTTTTACATTTTAGCGCGGTGTGTGTGAATTGGGGTTTGTCCTAAAATATTCGGCCTTTTCTGGGTCATTCCAGATGGGTTGGACCTTTGATGGGCTTAATCCGAAGTTTACCATCATAGCTGTAATATGGCTTACCTGGTTAGAGCACAATAATAGATTCTTCAATAATAAGCAAGCAGGAGGAACAATGAAAACACATATCAAAATTACTAGCTTCCTAAGCTAAATCTTAAAAACAATTCTGGGGTTGCTCTAGGTACGGCGTTGAGACTAAATAGCAGGACATTGTGACCAGTAGGCTACCGAGAGGGAGATTGCCAATTGTTGCCACCTTCTAATGACCTTGTGAAATTAAACTCCAATGGAAGTTTTAGAGGCAACAAGGGGAAGCAGGATTGGGGGCTTGTAAAAGACCATCAAGAGAAACTCATGCTTGCTCAGGACTGAATGTACCTCAAATGTAGCAGAGGGTAGTAAAAGACCATCAAGAAAAACTCGTGCTGCCAGAGTCTTTAGTGTATGGATCAGTGACTGTTAACATTCAAAGAAAGAAGAAATGAAGTAGCATCTAGAAACCAGCTTGTTTTCATTTCCTCAAGGTTAGATTGCTATTGAGGTTGTGCCTCCCATACTGTTTTTTGCGGTATTTGGCTGGGAGGAGCAAAAGAATTTTTGAAGATGGATACTCCGTTCATTAGCGGATTAAAGATTTCATTCCGCCTCATGTCTCTAGGAGTTTTGGGCATCTCTTCCCTGGATCAAAATCGTAGATGGCAGGTGGTGGTAGGCAGATTTCTCCATGACGGTACCTTCCATTTTGTCTAGTATCCTCCCCTTATGGAACACCTTAAACTTAGCTACATCTGCAGCTTTTTGGGTCAAGGCTGGTTGGACCTGAATCTGACAGCTTCTACCACCCTTTTGCAAGCCCAGCGAGTTTGACTTTGTATCCATTGGATGTCCATCATATGGGTTGCTGGGGTTTGATAATCTTCTAAATATAACTCATACAGGCAATTAGGGATTCATTAAGGCTCTACAATTTGTGAGTAGCAACTAGGTAGAGGTCATGAGAAATGTTCATCTAGTTTCTGTGTTGTGAAGAGGATCTGTTTTCGTAGTGACATTTACGTCCATTTTTTATCTTTTGGATTTGAATCTTGGATAAATGTTGGAATCTGGGTATGATAGTTGCACCTTGAAGGAAGTGGAAGGATACTTGTTTTCACTTCATGGTCACATGGTTCTTTTTAATATACCATGACTATTAGAAGCATATTAAAATGATTTTTTTACAACATTTCTCATTAGTGGGTTCACGAGAGGGGAAAAGGATATTTTTCTTATCATGGTAGCTTGGCATTTTCCAGATCCAAATGGGATGGATTCAACCCTTATTTTTAGTCCACATTGTGGATGGAATAGGCATTTACTCATATGCGAATATTTGTTAGTGCTTTGCATTGAGAACACATGGGCATAAGTTGCACCCCACACTGGACCACTTCCCATCATAAAAAATCCCGAATCACCTCTTTTTGAAGTAACATGACTATCCATGACACACCATAATCAGAATGGTTCATTATAGAAAGTAAATTGGCTGGTTGTAGGACAATCCATCATGGTAGAGCTTCTCTCTGTTAATTCTCTATAAGTTATATATAAACCAGATCCCCAATTTTGGTTGTACCCTTCTTAGGCTAGCCATGTCTAAAATTTTATGGTGCACGCTGGAATGGATTTTTACTGTTTACTCATTTGTTTCGATTTGCTCTGTGAACATGTTCATGTGGTTGTTGCAGGCCATTGTCAGCTTTCTTACTAAGCAGTTCAGCTTTGTTCTGTCTTTTTCACATTTTCCCTTGGTACAAGGACTCACTACTTTGGTCGAACAATTCTCCATGGTGGTGCGAGGGTTAGTGCTTATGGCTCTTTCCAAATATTCTTTTGTTTCTCCGTGTCCATGTATTCATTATCAAGCAACTGGAAGAGGGTTTGTCGTTCTGTCACATAAAATTTGCTGAAAATTACGGACTATACTCCCGTAGTCACTTTGTGAAAGCCTCAATTCTATTCCTTTGCCACTTTCAACAAGCTCTTCTAAATTTTGTTAAACGCAGCTCTTGGCTGCTGTTGTGTATTTTCCGGTTGAAGGCTGTAGTCTTGATGTTAAAGTTTGTATTTTCTGGTTGTAGATTTGAGGTTGCGTTCTTGCTAGTTGTATTCCTTGCATATAAATATAATGAAGTTGGTACCTTAGCTTATATCCTCCTCACAATATGCAGTTGGTTCATGGCACCATCATGGCTTTTTGCTCCCTATCTTTTCGATCCTTCTGGTTTTGAATGGAAGAAGTAAGCATATAATTTTGATTTATGGAGTTCCTGTTACATGACATCTTGACAACTATAACATATTAAATTATTCCAGGGTGGTTGAGGATTTTGAGGACTGGACGAACTGGCTCTTTTACCGAGGTGGTGTTGGAGTAAAGGGTGAGGAAAGCTGGGAAACATGGTGGGATGAAGAACATGTATTTGGTTTTTAAAATTGTTCACACTTGGTTGAGAGGAACCCCTTTCCCCATTTCAAGGGGGACATGTACCTAAATAGGCCAAGGATTGCATTAATTACAGCTAAATATTTGACATCTTCTAATAACGTGCATAAATAGAACGCAAACCAACCGCTGAGTGAGCCGACTCACTTGTTTATATGCGTCTCCCCTCCAAAATCCATCTTTCCACCTTAAATATAGATTCTGGATCCAAAATTTTTAGATTATCTAACGATGGACATTGGGCCCAAAACTTTTGGTTTTGCTAATCTTAACTAGGATGATGAACATGAATCTGGATTTTTTCTTTGAAAAATAAATATGGTATTTTATAAAATTTTCCTTTTTCCACCATTCATTTTTGCTTTTTGGAGGCACTATTTTTGACATTTATCTCAGAGATAAATATCTGGAGAGTGAGTCACTCAAAACCGGATCCTAATCTGCACGAGTCCATGTGGAAATTACGCTAACAGAGAAGGATACAAGATGACTAGAATCCCAACTTCGGAAATATTTGATACATTTTTTAATTTTCTATATTTGGTTGAGTTCTAAGCAGCACTTATGATAGTATCTTTCAAGCACAAATACATTAACCCTCATGGTAATATGTTAAAGCAAAAATAGATTAGCGTTTAAAAATCGGATCGGTGCATTGGATCGGCATCTCAAAAATTAATCCGGATCGGTGAATCGACGATCCGGATCGAGAATCAAGCTGAATCGATCGGATTAAGCTTTAAAAAATCCAAAAAAATTATTAAAATCCATTATAAATGTAGTTTTTTAAGAATCCAATAAGAAATGGGGATTTTACATTATTAACTTTCATTGTTTTCATCACTTTATGAATATTGAGATGTTTTTTTTTCGTATGAACTTATGTTGACCATTAACACAAAAGAAATCATAAAATTATCATGGACTAAGTATATAATCATATATGGATTACAATAAAGAGTTGACTAATTCGATGGAAAAATTGGCCACTAAAATCTCGAATTGACAAAAAATCCTAATCCGCTAAAAAAACCCAAATTATTATAACCTAACTAACTATAATATTATATATTGAAATTAAAATTGTTGGTTTACATTTTATAATATATTTTATTATATAAATAATAACAAATCCAAAATATTTTATAATATCATCTAATTTAAAATGTATTATTGACAATTGTAAGAAAAATAATACATTAAATGATTTATAATACAAACTTAATAAATAAAATAAAGGATTTGGTTATCAATGTAGAAATTATTAGAATGCGTATCAATTTTCAAAATAACAATTTATTTTCAAAAAATTAATTTTTTAGGTTTCTAGAATAAAATTAGTGAAATAGATTGTCAGCAGAAAGACAGATTTCAAATGGCCTCATTGTATAAATCCTATATTTAAATTAATATTCCTAAATTTATGTTAAAGATTATCATGTTATAAAAATAAAATATATAATTAGACCATTTATTTCTAGGTTGTATTAAGAAATAACTTTTATATTTTTTGACAAAAAATACTTATTGTGTTATCTTTTATTTTTTTTACAAGAAAAATATGATACTTGTTGATTATCTTTTTTTTTTTTTGACAAAAAAAGAAAATGTACTACATTTTTTTTTTGCTTGTTGTATTATCTTTTATTTTTTTTGACAAGAAAACTAAAAAAATGATACTATCAAAGTACCTTTTATTTTTTTATGCCTTTTGTTTTATTTTTTTACAAGAAATACTTTTTATATTACCTTGTATTTTTTTTACAAAAAAAATAAAAAAATGTTGTATTATCTTTTTTATCTTTATCTTGAAAAACCTTTTATTTTTTATTTTTTCTATGTTTTTACTACAGTATTTTCTAAAATACAAAAAAAATAAAAAAAATATTGTATTATCTTTATCTTGAAAAACCTTTTATTTTTTATTTTTTCTATTTTTTATATCAACATTTTGTCTTTGTTTATTTTTTTGACAACAAAAATAAACGAGAACGTGGGCTAAAGTTTGAATTGTAGCCATCTACCAAAAAAATCGCAACTGTCAACCAACATTACTACATCACCTAATATGATTTTATTAGCTTTTAAAATAGTATATATTAAATCGTCTTGATTTAATAATTTTTTGTGAGAATTATCCCACATTGAAAAATGAATATCACTTTGTTCTCTATAAATTCTTATGTAATGGACATTATAATGTGCATGTAAAAAAGCACGGGTACAAACATATAAGGTAGATTACCACGATTTTTAGGTGCCACATGTCTCCCCCGTTAGATGTCATATGGCAAAGTCTCTCCCATGGGATGTCATACGGTAAAGGCCCAAATGGTTCATGATGCAATTTATTGTACAAAATCGCCGGTGATCCCAACATGTTTCAATAGAACAAAAACTTCGATTTTTTAATCACCGTTTTGTACCGACACAGGGGGTGTCAATCGCAAAAGGTCCTACATGGACCCATACCCGTTTCACGTTCAAGTTATTTGGACCTAGAACCAACCTTAAACCATAAACCAGGTCTAAAAATTTAAAAAAATAAGAGTATTGCATAATATATAATTTTATGTACTTTGTATATTTGACCTCACCCAGATTCGCCAGTTCAGGTGGACTTGTTGGGTCGGCAGTCGACGGACCCGATTACCACCCCTACACTGACATCTCTCATTTTTTTTCACCGCCATTTTTCACTTTTTTTCACTGCCAAACCACCTGCTCCCCACAACCAAAGGGTTAGCATTCATCCTTTTCAAATGAACGGTTCATCTCAACCATCCATTGTTGAGAATCGATGGTTACGGGTTTTGAACTGCATATTCTATTAAGAGTATCCCATGAAGAATGCTTACCAATAACCTTAAATGAAGGCTATTCACCTAGTAAATATAAGGCACATTTTCTCCATATATACTGCTGAATGATATGTTTCGTAGTCAAAAAACTTGCACAAGTCAATTCAACTCGTTCACTGAATTGATTTTTATAAATGAAAAACTTGGGACGCATCAGAGAATTTGGTTACCTCTATTTATTTTTGTATCATATTATAACATGTAAATGTCATTTTTTGATGTGAAGGAATATAGTTCATCGGCCACAAAATGAGTACAAATCCCATTATAAATAGTTAAATGTTTCTAAAACTATTCCCAAAATTTTTGAAGATGAAAATCTGACAAATTTTTAAATCACAAGCCGACACAGTTTTGGGACCGAATCTCCCATCAAGTTTGAGTTCTTGAACACCTAATTACACTAAATACACACAATTGGACCTTTCCTTGAAAGGTGCAGTTTGAATAGAGCCAAGGCTCTAAACAATCAAATTAGAACCCACCTTCAAATAGTATCAAGAAATGTGGTTTTAATACTACAAATCTTTGACTAGCCTTTTCATCTTTGAATTATAAAATTTAAAGCTTTAAAAATTGCTTGAATAACTTAAAAATTGACGTTAAAAAAATACGTTTCAAGATGCACTATTTCCAAAACTTAAAATCTATTTTTTTCTTAAGTTCATGCATCTTTATGTTGAGATGATCAATTTGAGGATATTTTGGCATCAAAACAACCTCTTCTCGTGGAATTTTTTAGGTAAGTTTTAATTTGATTGTTTAGAGCCTAGGCTCAGTATAAACTTTTCCCCTCCTTGAAAGCTAGATAACAAGAGTTCTGCTCGCCAAACTCTTGTATTTGCTTAATTTACACAGGCTGGATTAGTAGAAACTTATCCAATTTGATCTTCATGATGGTGTGTACAATATGGCACAGTTGGTTCTCCAAATGAGGACCTCGAGCCCACAGTGTATAATAGAGTTATCTGCATCCCATGACCAGAATCAGGACCACGGCTTAATGCTCATTGTTTCCTTATCATTGATAACCTATTGGATAGCAATTTTGCCACCTGCAAGGAACATATGCCAGAAACAAACATTAGCCTATGTGACAACTGTAGAGAAATAGTAACAGGAGAAAAGTAACAGTGGGACCCCACTCACTTCATCTTTAGAACGTGTATAACTTCTGAACTCCTTATCAGAAATGTCACTATCAAAATCAAAGACGTATCGATCTAATAATGAGCGATAGTGGCCTTTCACAATTTCCTCTTCGCTCACCTGTGAATAAAGAAACACAAACATCACAACGACGGGTGCTTGACATACTTTCCATGCAGTTGCAAAAATATAAACGCTGTTTCCATCACCTTGGAACAAAGAAGAGAGTAGAAGAATAGCTGGATGGATAGATCTGCTAGTCTACTTCCAAATGATCATTTTTTAAATATTCTAATGTTGTGAGACACTTCAATCATCGGAAAGCTATGAGAAGTTTTCCTATGATAAAAACGACAAAAGAAGACTTAAATGTCAATGTTTAAAAACACATACATGTAACAAAGACTCAATGTTGCCCTGTCCAAGTTGTCGCTATAAGACTCAATTGAGTCTTAATAGACCCAGACGAGTCTTAAGATATGCTGGTAAAACGCTGTCAGGTCCTGAGGCAAGTTAACTCAGGTGAGTCCTGAGTCAAATTGCTGAGTTTAGAAACCCTGCTTAAGATGTACACTTTGTAAATACTCATAAATTCCTAAAAGACATTACTAAAGCTCATACAATCCTAGGCCATTCCCTATGCAAGGTGAGGCATCCTCATTGCTGCTCTAATGAGTTTGTGGATGTAGGTACTAGGGAGGGTACAGTACGCTCATAGGGGACATTATCGTAGCTATCCTCACTAAGCATTCCATGGTCCAATACTTGTTTGAGTGGAGATTAAATTATACAGTCCAGATATTGGTACAGACAATCAGTATAATTGCAGCAATATATTTCATGTCCAATGGTCTGTTGCCTTTCTTTTTCTTTGCTTACTGAGGTCAAAAAGAAGAAAACACTGAAGTTTACAAGGACTTGGCAGATGAATTTGAACTAAGAGAAAAACCTGGGGGTGTCAAGTGACATGGTAGCACCGCAGGTATGATGAAATGTCAAACTACGCGCTGGAAAAGGAACTTGGGGGTGTGCTTCGGGAGATCATCTACAAACAAATTAATAAAGCATTGGTTTGTGTTTGTTGAGTCTCTGAATCTGGAAACACGAAGAGGCAAGATTGCAGATTTGAGTCTAAGCTAAAGACAAGAAACAAACAGATCGATTGGTGGCACAGGGGACCTTTTCAAAAGATGCTCATGGTAAGGTTCAGTCTAATTTTTATTAACCTTTTTTTTCCATTCCTTCATATCATTCACAAAAAAAACCAACACCTAACCACATTGTAAGCAATTGAAGCATCATTTGAACTGCACATTTCATGCTCTCTTAGTTTTAGCATATTGATTTTCTAAAGATACCATGTCAAATAACATGATTGAAAGTGATACATTAACTAATAGAATGGAAATTCACAGACAGAAGAATCAGAAAGGCGTCGAGGTCATGGTAGCACCACTAGAGCCTCAGCTACTGGTCTAGGTTTTCATTCCCACTGACACATTCGAAAGTGACTAACTATATCTAGAAACAGGTAGGGCCCTGTATTCCCCACTTTTCAACCCAAAAAAAAAAAAAAGTATCAGAAACAAATACAATAGAATAATATCAACTATATTGGATAATTCAGGCAAAACCTTACATTACTTGCACAAGCAAAGGGTCAAGTAGATTACACATACCTGATGGAGGAGAAGGATCTCAATAATATTGTCTTCCCAATCAATATTATTTCCTTCACATCCACATTTGCGTTTTTTCTTGAAGGGCATGCATTGTGATGGGTAGTTACCGTCATCATCGTCCAAATCAATAGTCACACCATTTTGGCTTTCAGAAGTAAAAGAACTCATGGGTTTCATAATCTCACAGATCCGCAACTTGGCAGCATTTATTTTCTCTCGTCTCCTGCATACCATACACAAGATGTTTTAGAAAACATAATCTTGATTGCAATTTATAACCAAATAGAAAACCAATAAAAAGTGGACACACCATTGATCTGAGGAAATGGATTTTTATACATGTATAACTTGGAGACATAAAGGGGAAAAATGATAGCAAGAAATGATATAAAATTTTAATGGCCCATGATTCAAGTAAATCCTGGAAGTTGGGGGTGACTTGAAAGATTGAGCCACAAGTCATGTGCATTGAGATTTTTTAGGTGTCGCACAAAATGTTTTGTTTGTTTTTTGCAACAAATGAAATGGATGAATTAAGACATGCATTCCGCGACTCATCATCATCATCATTATCATAGCCTTTTCCCAATAATTGGGACCGGCTAATCTTGGTCCGTCATTCTGCTCTATTAAAGGCCATACCTTTAGTGAGGCCATAAGTCCCCATATTACTCAAATCATACTTAAAAGGATTTTTAGAAATATTAGAAAATAAAGGGGAAGCCTCACACCACTTCCAATTCCCAATCATGATGGTTTCCATCAAGTGTCATTATCCATGGAGCGGCTCTGTTGGATGGATCATAGTTACCAGAATCTCTCACCCCAAGTGGCAATTCCGTTTCAAAATCCCGATTCTGTAATTCCGTCAAGGAATCTTCATGAAACATGTTTCCTTGAATTAAGGAACCTCGATTCCACATTTTAGAAATCTCAATTCAATATTTGTGGGATCCAGATGCCACAACAGTGTAATTTTATATATTGTAATTTTGTGCTCTCTTATAATGTTAAAATTTCTATCACCGTCTCTCCATGAGTGTGTTTGTGATGTTTAGACTTTTAATACTAACGCTACAATACAATGTGAATATAAATAAACAAATATTATTTAATTTTCTCTTTCATTAAATGTACTCATTTTCATTTCACCATGTCAAGTAAATGCTATATTTTGAAAATAGAATTAGGGATTCCTAGACAATTTGTTTTTCTAATAATGCTAGAACTTGGTCGCTTTTTTTAAAGATAATTGGGGAAAAGATTTGGGTTTGATTTGAAATAAATTTCTAATAGTGCCAGAACTGGCGGTGTTTCTTAAAGAGATTTAGGTTTGATTCGGATTACAATATAATGCAACAAAATGGCATAAATAGATCACCATTTTCAACCATAAAAATGAAATCAAAATCTCTCTATGTTTTATAACCACCATCTAATGGACTATAGGTGTCTGTTAATTGTACTTAACCCAAACCTAGGTCACCCAACCTTGACATGGATATTCCAATTAAGGCTCAATACATCGATTTAAATAACAGGGGAACCCTTGTTTAGGTTTTTATGACCTTTGAGGATCCCAATTCCAATGCAAGGGGAACCATGGCTATGCATACTCAATACATTGATTCCATACTAAGAAATTCTTGCCAATGTTTTAAAATGCGGGATGTGGCCTGATGCATTGGAGGGGCCAATGCGAGTGCATCACCACGATACAGTCAATAAATATAAAAAATTCTACAAAATCTAAAAAATAGGTTAATGCATAGAAAAAAAATGAAAGTAATTTTATTGATTTGATTCAGAAAAGCCACTGATGTGGCTGTTTTTAGTTGTTTGGGGAGTATAATACCCCCCAAAACCCTTTTGCCTCCTTTTTTGGAGCTCAAATGTCCAAAATACCCATGCGCGAGGTTTTTTTTTTTTCCACGGAAATGACTGGCTACATACGCGGGTTATGCAGGATGCAGCCGTATATGTGGAGAGATGTGGCGCATATGCTGGCATATCTCTCCAAAGCGCATATGCGGCCTCTTGCGATGCGCTGCCCAGCACACAACGCTTTATGCGGCCGAAGATGCGGCCGCATTTTAAAACCATGATTCTTGCATAAGATCACTCTAGAACCTTGAACCTTTTGCTTATGGAACAAATTTCCTGATGATTTATGGTGGTGCGGTGCTAAACTCTCGGGTGTTGATTGCATAGATGTAGGAATCTCGATTCCAATTGGATTGAAAATCGATCTATAGAGGTAGGAACCTCGATTCCATATGGGTCGAAACTCAAATCCAAACTAGTATGAATTCCGATTCCAATTCATCTGAACTCGATCGCAAAGAAGTAGGAATTTTATTCCATTTGGGTTGAAACTCAATTCCATAGAGGTAGGCATCTTGATTCCATATAGGTTGAAACTTGATTCCGATAAAGTAGGAATCGAATTTCCAGCAATACCCCATGTACGAATAGCAATTTCGACAAAAAAAATCTTCCAAGCACCCGCGATTCTAATTCCTAAATTAAATCTCAAGCATTTCCAACAACTATGGGATGGATAATAGGTTTCTCTCCTCGACCAGATCTACAACCCGTCTCCCACCTGAAATTTGTTGATGACATAGATGCCAATGGAAGACCTATCACATAAGAAGTGTCCATTGAGTGAATTATCAAATGGTTTAAGACTGAGTGAATTGGGGCAACTAATCTGGATAAACGTATAGTCAGATTAACTCAGAAGTTAGAGGCACGAGGCTGATTAGAAGAAAATTGCCAAGGCTCTTGGAGCAGCTAATGAAGGCTTCTTAATGAAATATCAGGACTTGATGCTTTATATTGACACTTAAAGCAACTATAGAAACTGGTAATGATATGCCAACTGGAAGACTTGTAGGACAAAAGAGCAGGAGAAATAAGAAAATTCGTGATCACATTTTGATTGATCGCAACTTCAGCTTAAGATCTTGAGAATTTTTTTTTTTTTGATGAACTGAATCTTGAATTAATTTGGGTAAAAGGTGTACAATTTGCCCTGCATGTATTAAAAAAAACTGCAGGAGATGCGATAACTTTATTTCCCAAAATTAAAGCCAATAACCAGATTTTTGATCAACCTCACCTAATCGAGCAGGCTATTATCAACTTCTTCAAGAAACTCTTCTGAGCACCATCAGGGCCTAGACTGCAAATGGTCGTCCTCTCTTGCAACTCCAATCCTCCTCATCAAGCCACCTGGCTTGAAAGAACCTTCTCCGAAGAGGAAATTCTCTTGGCTATCAAAGAACTAGGACAAGACCGAGCCCCAGGTCCAAACGGTTAGCTGCTAACATTTTTCAACAATTATGGCATACCATGAGCCCTGACTTGGTCGCCATATTTAATAAATTCCACGAGAGAGGGATCATAAACAAGGCCATAAATGCCACATTCATCGCCCTAATCCCCAAGATTGAAGAGGCTGAGGAACTATAAGATTTCCGTCCTATTAGCCTCATTAATAGCTCTAACAAAATTTTGTCCAAGGTCCTAGCTACCGGACTAAGGGCTATCCTCAGGTGGGTCAATTCCCCAACACAAGGAGCTTTTGTTAAAGACCGCCAAATCTTAGATGTTGCTTTAGCAGCGCAGGAATGCATCCACTCCCGTCACTTGGCTAAAAACCTGGGGGTGGTCATCAAATTAGATTAGGAAAAATTCTATGATCATGTAGATTGGAAAATCCTAGATGAAACCCTTTCCAGAACAGGTTTCAGCCAGCATCGGAGATCCTGGATCAGAGCGTGCATTTCCGTGCCAATATTTTCAGTGCTCGTTAACGGCTACCCCAGAGCAACGATGTCTTCTGCAAGTCGATCACGAGCATGTACAGATGTGGCTTCCTCTAAGGCTTCAACGAGGGGGCGAAATGAACTTGAAATACACCAATGACACCCTAATTTTCTGCAATGCTGACCCCTTCCAGATCGACAACCTAAGACTTTTTCTCAAATGCTTTGAGATGAGTACGGGTTTCAGGATTGACATGGCTAAAACAAAGGTGATGGGCTTTGCCCTTCAACCCCAACTTCTTTCTTCTCTAGCCAACAAATTGGGATGCAAGGTGGAAGATTTTCCCTCCACTGACTTGGGTCTGCCACTTTGCATTGGGAAACCCAAAACCAGCCAATGGAGTCACATTGTATACAAATTTGATTGCAGACTGGCTGACTGGAAGGGCAGATATCTCTCCCCCACGGGTTGACTCGCCCTTATAACGGCTACCCTCTCCAATATTCCTATTTTTCATGTCTCTCTTCCTCATGCTATCCTTGGTGGCTGACCATCTAGAGAAACTCACGAGGAACTTCCTTTGGGCCTGAGAGGGGGGAGAAAATACCACCTCATATCTTGGGCCAAAGTGCACACTCCCAAATCTCAAGGGGGCCTAGGCATCTGCAATCTCTGATCCAATAACCTAGCCCTACTTGGCAGATTGTGGTGGCGCTTTGCTACATAGGAGAACCACCTTTGGCAGGAGGTTGTTCATCACAAATACCACTGTGAGGAAGAAGCTTGGCTCCCAGTTGGCAAGGCTGGTCCCAAAATTATGCGAGTATGGAGGTTGTTACTTTGCAGTCTCCCTCACTTCACCAGCAACATCCGCCTCCACCCTCATTCTGGCCACAAGGTCGACCTGTGGCTAGGCCAAACCCCCCTTAAGGACAGGTTACCCCATCTTTTCCTAGTTGACCGGTACCCCCAGGCCACAATAGTTGAATGCTTCCAAACTTTGGGCCACAATAGAGTTTGGCATCCTAGATTCAAAAGGCCCCTGCTGGACATAGAGATCCCCGAATTTCTGGCAGTATCCTCCATCCTCCACTCAACTTTTATCCGACACCAAGGGATGGATGTCTCCGGCCCCCTCGGGTACCTACTATCTCCTCTTTTTGCAAGAATCTCCAAAGGTCCCCTTTCCCTACTCCCCCCCACCCCTCCACCAGGCCAGAGCTTAGTACTCCCTCATTCCCCCCAAGATCAAAGTGTTCAGCTGGGTCACATTCTCAGAAAGAGCCTTGACAGTTGACAGCCAACCGCTCTACCACTGAGCTATTGAGGAACAATGTGAGATTAGATCTCATAGAGTTCTACTCTCATTCTCAACCCATGACCAATATGGGCCCGAAGCTTCCTTCGTAACTCCCAGAACTTCTTTATAGTGGCTCCGTTCCATGCCTC